AATCCATCTTGATACTTTTCACACATCCATTCTTCCCTTGGATGCAAGCGGTAAAACTCAGAATACTTTAGCAAGGATTCAAACTTCCTAGTATATTCTCCCACCGTCATCACACCTTGACGTAGATTCTGAAATTCTCTCTCCTTCTCTTTCCTACATAACTTTGGAAAATACTTCCCCAAAAATTCTTCTTTGAACAAGGTCCAATTGATTTCTCTTCCTTCCTCTTCCAATAATCTATACTTTCCTCTCCACCAAGCTTCAGCATCGCCTGTCAGCATGAATGTTGCATAACCAACCCTTCTATTCTCTCTACAGTGAGTGAAAGAAAATATCTTCTCCATTTCTTGCAACCATTTCTCAGCACCCTCCGGATTAAAGTCACCACCAAACTGTGGTGGTTTTCCTTTCAGAAACGAGTTCAATCCTGTATCCTCATGCACCATTTCCCTTTGTTGTTGCTGAAAGAGTTGATGATCTCGAGTGATTTGCAGGATTTGAGCATTTTGTTGTGTTTGAACTAACACAGCTGCAGCAAGTTCACGAACATCTCGAGTGTCAGCTTGAGAGTTCGTTCCAGTTTGGGAATGATCTTCTCGTCCAATGGGAATGGTAGGTGCTCCTTCAGGAGTAACTTCATCACTCGCATTCCTACGTATACCTCTAGTAGTGCCTCTAGCAGCACTCCTACCACGCCTCGCACCTCTGACGTTCTGAACCATAACTTCCTGAAAAGGAATAGTTATTAGGTTCAATCATTCACAAGACATAAAGAACATAACAATTATGTATATTTATATCCCAATGAATGATTCATCGATAAGGATTTTTATCAAGTCTCCCACAGGCAAGGGATAATTGTGTCTAAAATGTTGAATTAATATCTTAAATATAACTAGAATTCAGGAAAACATAATCAACATTTAATGTATAAACAAAAATGTATCAATTTATTTAATAACAACGATTACAAAAATCGTGACCATGTCTCATTCAAAAACCTCTACTTGTAAACCAAGCTAAGACTAATAGTGGTAAAACTATAATTATCATTATTGCTACGAAATCTTTACCTAATTCTTCATGCTTGATGATACCAATAACAAACAAAATAATGACAAGAAGAGTGATGAATAAAAGAAAGGATTTAGCCATTTGAAAGGTATAGATAAATATTTAGGAATTGATATGAAAATAATGGATGGGTGTGAAGTATTTATAAAGTGAATTTTGTGAAGTGTCCGTTACGTTACCGTTGGGTTTGTGACCGTTGGGGAGGAAAAATAAAGTGTGCTAAATAAGTTTCCTAGACCATTATACTAGAAGGCTCTCAAGATGAAGACTCAATGCACAGAAGAAAAGTTATCATCCAGTTTGGAATCCAACTTGATACAGTCAGTATAATTCTAGACACTTACGGTCCGAGCTGAATCGACCAGCTCTGATACCATTAAATGAGACAGCCTATGTCCCATTAGTGGAATTCTAATGAAACCTTATAAAAATACAGAAAAATTTGAAATTTTTAAAGGACAATACTTAATTATTTAAAAACATACTGTTTCACATACATATGCTTCAAATATATTTTACAGAGTTTGACACCGTTAAGACTAGCGGCCTTGCCACATAGATAAAACATAAAATAAAAGTACAGAAAGGAAACCAAAAAGAAAGCATACCAAAAGGGACCTCCTAAGTCCAACAAGACTGACACTTATACTGACTGTAGTAGTAGGGATGTGATTAGCGTTTGACAAAACACTAACAGCTCCCAATCTAGATGTTATAGTAACACATCTCCACGTCACTTCATATCCTTTCCTTCTGAGTTGTCGGGAAGTACGCAAGATTCGAGCTCATCGTCTGATCGTCATAAAATAATCCAAAATGCAAAACAAAAATGACACAGGGCTAAGATTCATGTACAAGTTTAAAAGTGGGAATGAATGTGTAAAATAATAATATATATGGAAACCATATTTATACAAACAAGCGTATCTTATACCCACAATTACATATACTTTATTTATTCTAATGCATCCCTGAACTATATGCTGACTCAGGCCACTAAACGCTGTCAATGATATCTATCCCATTTACCAAGATCAGATATCACTAGACCACATGCCACCAACGTACTCCCAATTACCAAGAGCTACGCCACCTAACTTCACATGGAGCCTAGGTGTTATAAGTCGATCGTCCCTGAGAATTCAGGCCAAGAACCTTGTCTTGCCTAGCATGCATAGATAATAATCCCCGTCGGGATTGCAGGCGACTGATCAACCTCGTGCGTCCCATACCGCACGGCGGTGGACTTACACATTCCTTAATGCAAGTCTATATGATCACTCACTCATCTTGTGGCAACTCTTAGCCATAAGTATTAAGTTAATAATGGGGAATTATCGTATCAACTTTTCAAGTTATACTTATTATCTAGATACTTAGGTTGAGTACCAAATCCATCCAATGTCTTGCCATATTTGATCTTTGTCCTTACATAATAAGTTCAGTTTGTATAATGGGTAATTGTATGGTTAACTTCCCAGGTAAGAGAGGTGGACTGTAAACGGCATAGTCGACCAAGTCTTTCCTTAGCCAGAACCCAACCAAATATAACTACTCATTGTATCCAACTTTCCTTATGTTAATGGGGATCAATTACTTAATATCTAGCAATGTTTTTCTCTCATTAACCGATTATTTCCTTAATCTATCAATCACAATCATTCAAGTATAAATAAAATAAACAATTATAAAATTAACCGAATAATGCAAGCACAATACAATACCAAATTGTCAAAGATTATTCCTATGATAATTAATTAAGGCCGGCGTAACCTCGCCTAGTGATTTGTGAAAATCATTATTTGAGAATAGGCTCTCCTTAATTATTTATCGCTAGTAGGGCTTAGGTCACCACTACACACATATATATTAAGTTATTTTACGCTAACCGTCCCAATCGTATACGAAATCTTGCCCCCACCTTTTGTTGAGTGTTGTTGAAAGTCCACAAGTGTTGTCTTCGATCTTTGCCAAGAACCTAATTTACGATAACCGTTGGATTGTACGAAATTTATGAAATAATTAGAATATAATTTATGGTTAATTGAACATAATCCCGTTATAACTTGAAATATTTATTTATTTAAATATATCATAATAACCTCCAAAATAATTATTAAATTCAAATATAAATTATATTATACCTCCTTTTGAATTTGTTTGTTTTAGAAAATTGTCAAGAGTATATTTCTAATAACATTTAAATTATAATAAAATTTGGGCATTATAACGACTTAAAATGGTAAAATTTATTTTGGACTTTATAAGTTCAATATATCGACGTCTGAACGGAATTTGCATAGAAAATTTAAAATAACCTTTATATAAATAACATAATTAAAATAATATAATTAAAATAAAATGGACATTATAACGGCTTACCGATTACTTATGAAAATGATTTGGGCAGAACTTTGACGTATAAAACTCCCTTGAAACTTTAGAAGAACTTTTACCACAAAATACTCTAAAGGTTACGAACCGATATCGTGGGAACTTCGATAACTAAAACTAATATTGCTATATGAAGAAATTAGAGAAGGAAAGAAGTAAAGAAGTAAGAAAGATGATTTGTGAATGAATGAATGAAAATGGGGTGGAAGAGACCCCTATTTATACTAGTTGTAAAATATTAAAATAACATAATTTATCATCTTTTGCCCATACCTTCCAACTTTTCAACTCTTGCTAGTAAATATGTCTCTATCAAATATTTACTAATCTTTCATCAATAGTGCTTTAGGTGTTCTAGTATGACTTTGTGAAAATAATTTATGACAAAGGTATGGGAGCTTGATTTCATGACATAATATTATGTAGGATATTAATAGAAAATGAGATATATATTTCTTTTATAAAAAGTAAAATGTTAATAATATTAATAATAATAAAAATAGTAAAAAGGATAGTTATTTGATATTTTTATTGTCTTAAGATTATTTTATTTATTAATTGGTTTATAGAGTAAAATGATAATATTCAAATAAAATAAAATCAATTAATAATAACAAAACAAGAACAACAATAATGATAATAATAATATGAATAATTAATTAACTTAAAGTTAAGGGTTTTAAGTACCAATTTAAATTTCAAAGTTTAGTTTATAAAATGAAACGATGATATTCAAATTGAAGAATAAAAGTAATAAATATAAAAAGTAATTAATTAATAAATTAATTATTATAAGTGTTAGTTTCAACATTTAATTTTTAATAACTAGCATTGTTAAAATCTCAAATCTAACTAGATATATTATTTAGTGTATGGAAAAATTAGGATGTTACAAGATTCACTATTAGTTTACCTTGATTCACTTTCTTTGTCACCTACGATCCTAAAGTTTTTCACAATCACTTATTAATCACAAATAGAAAACTTATATATATATATATATATATATATATATATATATATATATATATATATATATATATATATATATATATATATATATATATATATATATATATATATATATATATATATATATATATATATATATATATATATATATATATATATATATATATATATATATATATATATATATATATATATATATATATATATATATATATATATATAAGCATTATAACTCTTTACCATAAGATGGATCCTTGAATTAAATTTCTAAAGCAACTGATTGTGTCTCAATTGGAGTTACCAAACTCAAACTATGATATTTTCAATTCTGCTTCAAAATTTCTAAAGCATTATAACTCTTTTGATATCCGATGCTTAAAAAAATGTGAACAATATGCTCAATGTTGCTTACCTACAAATAAATCTCTACTTTTGGGTGTGTATTCTTTTGCTATCGCGTTTGTCAGTTATATTTGTTATACTATTACTAGTTTAATAACCTTAAATATTGTGGTTGTTTAGATTGTTGTGCACTCTTATTATTGAGCTATCTCTAATTAATGTTCCATTTTATTGTCCATCTGGGAATCAAACAATCCTATAGATGGGTCTATGAAGGAGTAATAGATGATCCTTATGGTGAATTTTTCATTGCAGAAGACAAATCTCTTCAGAAGGTATAATATAAAATTTAATCATGTAATACAACCCAAAATTAATATCAAAACTTGTTTTTTTCATACGAACTCAGTTTCATATTCTCTATAGGAGAGTCTTACTAAAGATTATGATGCTAAGTATTGGCGACAGCGTTACAGCCCCAAAGATGGAATTCCTAGTTTCCTTGCAAATATTGCGGAAACAATTTTGACCACAGGAAAATATCTAAATGTTCTGAGAGAATGTGGACACAATGTTCAGGTGTTGTTAATGTTATACTTGTATGTAGAATAAAGTTATCTGCTACTCAGCCATTCAAGTTGGAGTGTGCTTGTGAAATATTTATTGTTCACTAAATGTAGTTACTTGTTACTTTAGGTCCCTCCATCAGAAAATTCAAAACTAATGAGCTTTGGCTCAAATCGTCATTATCTTGAATGTATTAAGGCTGCTTATAACTTCGCAAGTGGCGAACTTGTGAATCTAATTAAGGAAAAGGTGATTTGTAATATGATTAGGCTTGTAAATTCTCAGCTTACACTTTAGTGCTTCTGCACAAATGGATGGCGGAATCCTCGTGGTTTCTGCTCCAGATGGTCCAATGCCTCAAACAAAGGAGCATATAGTCCTCGCTCGTCATGGTTCTATATACTTTAGAGATAAAATTAGAGATAGAGTGATACTTTAGAAAATAAACTGCATCACTTTTGTGCAGGGTTGGTCATTATACAGTTCCTAGAGAGATGGCTGATGTTACCAATTGGCTTGGCTCAAGGTTAGGGCTTGAGGGACCCTTATAAGGAACATGGTCAGAAGGACATGAGCAACTAGCTAGATATAATGGAATGGTTTATAGGTTTATATGTAATATGTGAAAATGGATTCACTGACTTTGAATTCAATGTCTTTTGATAATTTTAGTTTTTTTTTAATGAGATAAAAGTGAGAAAGAGATTGAGGAAAATAACATGAGATGGTGTGTTATAGAAGAGAGAGAGAGAGAGATATAGAGAATGCAGTTTTTGTCACAAAAGGTAGAGAATCTAATGGTGTGTTATATGAGTCTTTTTTGCCATGTTGAGATATAAATATCTAAATATGTGTTTGTTGTATTCTCACACCAGTTCTCTCTAATGGATGCTACTTCACAGCCATTGAAGTATCAGGTAACCATCTTCCCTCAACTCTACTGTCTAAATCTTTTTTTGTTTTGTTTAGTTTTATAAGCTAAAGTTTGTTTCTCTTACATGTTTCTCAGACATGGTTCTTGAAAGTTTCTATCCATTGTGAAGGTTGTAGAAGAAAAGTAAAGAAAGTTTTACAGAACATTGATGGTACTTCATTTCTTCGACTTCTCATGCATGAAAATATTCAGAGCTCAAATTTTACTGTTATAAGCTCAAAACATAAACAACTGTATGGTTGTGTGTTCTAGCATGTACAATGTAGCATCTGATGTCAGACATTATGTTAGTATTGTGTTTAATATATTTGTTTGTGTTTTTTATTCATAACTTCTGGTTTTGCGTTCAGGAGTGTTTACTACAGCAATTGATCTGCAACAGAAGAAAGTAACAGTCACAGGAAATGTTGTTGTTGAGACTCTGATAAGGAAACTGGCCAAAGCTGGAAAATAAGTAACAGTCAGTGTTCTTTGTAGCAGTAATGGAGGCACCAATTTAATCTTTTGTAATTTGAAAAATTGTAGGGATATTTTCATGCTGCTATGAACTTTGCAGCAGTAATGGAGGCACCAGTTATTTTCATATGTCGTAACAACGGATGGGCCATCAGTACACCTGTCGAAGAACAATTTCGAAGTACTCTATACAAATTCTTCCTACTTAAGTTGTTTTTTTTCAAACAAGCTCTATATCATTCTCAAGTCTATGTGATTAATTTTGGTGTTTGGTTAGGTGATGGTAATATACTTGGTTGTAATTTATACTTGTGTTAATATACTTGGTTCTACATAATTTTGTGATAATGAAAAGAAGAGTTAATTTTCTGATAATTTTGGGTGTAATTTGTTGATTGAGTTGGATAGTCTGATTTGGGGGTAAATTGTTAAATGGGAAAACTGCATTTGATTTGTGTGATTATCAAAAAAAAAACTTCTTAGGTCGGTTAATTATACCCGACTTAAGAAGTAAGTTCTTAGGTCGGGTATAAATGGTTTCTGCAGGCTAGACTTATTAAGTCGGGTTCTGCCTAACTGACTTAAGAAGTTGTTTCTTAAGTCAGGTCCACAACCGACTTAAGAAGTCAAAACTTCTTATGTCGGTAATTCTTAGGTCAAGCTCGGACCCGACTTAAAAAGTCATTTTTAACCGACTTAAGAAGCCTTTTTTCCACTAGTGTTATCACCTCCGTACAACCAAGGATAATTGGTTTCCCGTACAAAGCTCAAAATATTTCAATGAGAACAGAAGCTTTTTATTTACATTGATGAGATGCCATTCTTACTAAGCTAGCAATGAAAACAATGAAACAAAAATAAATAAATTGTCATAATGTAATAACTTATTTGCGAAACAAATTGACACACACTCTAAGCTATTCAAGTATGGAAAGAACATCATAGATTCAAGAATCACATAATTTTTGGGAAGCAAAATTAGAAAAATCCCAAGAAGATGAAAACTGAAAAAGGAAATAAAGGAAATCAATGTTTTAGTAATGAAATAAAAAGCATAAAAACACCAGAAAGAAAATGACCTAACAAGTTTAGCTTCATGTGATGAAGACATATAATCAATCAATGGAAAACTTGAGGAAGTGAAAACTCACCAATACCAGAAACTTGAAGAAGTGAAATAAAAAATGAGAATCATATAAATATTAAGAATCGCTTTAAGTGGCGGAGACACAGAGAGACTTCGTGCAAAGTGGATCAGGCGGCGGCGAAGCGGAAAGGTTGTATGTGGGAATACGTTTCACAGTAAATAAAAGAGAATTTTTTTTCCCTGTAAAGTAAGGAAGAACATGAACGTGCAGGTTACAGATGAAACATCAAATTGAACCTAAAACCTAAAGGTGAAAAAAAGTGGTGTAGAAATAGAAACTTAATTAATTTGAAAGAAAAATCAATTTTAATTTATTTTAAAATCTTAATAAAAGTAAGAAAATGCTGTAAATTACTTTTGAAAATAAATTACATGTGAGTGGTCTTATGTGTTCTCACTCTTTATTATATAAAATCTAAAGCATTCATTTAACCTTATGGTTATTTTTTTAGGTTTCCCATTGTGAGAGACTTAATTAATCCCTCACCCTAAATGTTACCAATTATTGAGGGTAAGATTTAATTATCCAAACGCTTATGTATTAATATTTATCATAATGTTATATATGTTATAGTTCTTCATTAACATTGATGGTTATCTATGTTCTTAATGCTTGTTATGAATAGGCTACTGATAACAAATTACTAAAGTTATTAATTGATATTGAGAAATACTCTTCTTAAATAGGTCAAATTTTTTTATCTGTCGAATGTTAAACTAAAGATACAGATTTAAGTTTAAATTTCAGAATTTGTTAAATACTAAACTAAAGATACAGATTTAGGTTTAAAATTTATATATACAATTGAAATGTAATATTCTCATATTGGTAACCAGCTGAGAAACCATCAGTTAAGCAATACGATCGATTTCACGTCGTTTTTTTAGATATAAACAACATACACAGAGCGAAAACTTATAATATTAATTGATGATTAAGAATATATATATATATATATATATATATATATATATATATATATATATATATATATATATATATATATATATATATATATATATATATATATATATATATATATATATATATATATATATATATATATATATATATATATATATATATATATATATATATATATATAACTAATGAAAATGATGCATGAGAACAGGACGATAAAATATTACTCCAACAATCTCAATTTTATATATTAAATCTTATTTCGATTCAGTGTTACATTAACCTAGTTATTAAATAGAAACTTTAAATAATTTTCTCATTATAATAGAAATTATTGAATGAATTTTGAATATCGCATCAGTCCCCATGAAAGTGATAAAAACAAATATTTATACTTTTGTTGCAAATACTACGATAACAAGCTCAAAGTCGATAATTGTTAATAATTTAATCAGGTGACATTAACCATCATTTAGTCGTTGATTTGTTGAAGTAAGAGTTGTCATTATTAAATGATTGTAATGATTATATTTGTGCGACGTTGTTAATAGTTGTTTTTAAGTGGTACGTAGTGTGTCTTTGATATGACAAATGCAAGATATTGTATATTTGCCTCGATTGTTATTTATTTGCTTATATGGTTTGAACTTGAATTCACACTTATGAAATATATACAAGTAGTAATAGTACTCTATAGAATAGAGCGCATGCCTTTACAAGAATTTTAGTTTAAAAATTGTACTAAAAGCTGGAAAACGTATCCTGATGCTCATTGTTCAATCAAACTGTATCCATGACACAATAGTTTTATGGTTTTTTAAATTATTAAATTGTGAAAACTATTGTGTGTTATTATAAATAATATTGTGGTATTCTTTATTTTAAGTTGATTTAATTAATTTTTTTTATTATTTTCAATTTTCTTTTATTTGAAATAATTTTATTGGGTAAATATCAACAAGTAAGTGATTTCGGGGTATAATGTATCATATGAGTATGTTCACTAGTATAAATTCCAGCAACATATATAAATACATTTGAAAATTCTAAATAACAATAAAAAAAAATCATATTATATACAATCACATTTTAAATGAGATTCACATCTCAGTTCTCCATTTATAATGATATCTTTCCTTCTATGATGATTTCAATCAAATGTGTACTTTAATGTCTCAAATCATGTGTAAGATATTTTTTGTACCATTTTGCTGTATTAGTTGGTATACGTTTGAGACTATCATTAAAGTCAATATGATAAAGACCCCAATTTCCAGAATAACCCGCTTGAAATTCAAATGTATCAAATGCTGCCCACAAAAAGTAACCTTGAACGTTTACACCATCACTATCAATTTGTACATAGAAAAATATTTAAGATGAGCCATACAAATATATTTCAAGTTTTATAGCTTTAAATATGATTGCTATTTTATATTAGGGATATTTAGAACCAAAAAACTATAAATACTTAACAAATAATTGCTATTTTTCAAGTTTTATCACTTTAAATATGATTTCTATTTTTCAAGTTTTAAAAATATTGCAAAACATTTATTCGCAGACAATTATAATTATTATAGACCAATTCAATTATATTTTAATGCAATGTCAATTTATTTGATCACATTTTGAACTATCTCAACACAATATCCAAATATTAACATGACTGAATAACTACATAAAACCCCTTTTTACTATCAATTCAAAATCATTGACGTTTATTATAACCAAACATGTTAGACTTTCATTCTTTTTATTTCAAAGTTATTAAATATAATTTGAAGCTATTAAATATTTTTTTATTCAAAGTTGTTATTATTATATATAAGTGTATA